CCAAGCTCCTCATTCAAACGAGTAAGGAGGATGTTATGATTAACCGTATCGAAAGCGGCGATTGTTTATATTTGTATTTTATATTTTTATTTTTATTATATTTTCTATTTAAATATTTTTGTTTTAATATTTCTTATTTAATTATTGAGTTATTTTTTTTAGTTTTTTTGGACCCTCGACACATTACTCTCTCCCTCGGCATGTAACCTTCATCCCTTGACGCTCGACCAAAAGGCACACTCCTTTGCATGCAGCAGTTTTCGGTTTTGATCGAGTTGTTTTTTTGGCAGTTTTGCGGTTTTGCGGTTTTGAATAATTTTTTCTATGGTTTTGCGTTTTCTAATATACCCCAATGCCCCCTCCTTAACCCCCCCCCCCCCTCGTAACTGTGTAAAAAGTTGAAAACTTCAAGATAGTAACTGGAAAAAGAGATCTGCCGTAAAATGTGATTATCATTATGGATGATACCGGCTCTTGGATCAAATTTGGGCAAAGGCACTTCGCTGATGATCATACAAGTCTGTTGCGAGAGTTATCCACGGAGTCAATTGTGAGTGGGGAAAATATTGCATTTGTGGCGAAGAATTAGGAATTTCTACTGATCACCTGTCAGAGTAAAGGTGCCCACAACCATCCCAATACTTCGTCCTGCTAACATGGTTTCTTCCTCATTGTCCTTTCGCCGACGAGCAGCCCATAAACCAACGCCAAGAATGAAGAGATAAAACAAAACAATTGCCACAACTCCAGCAACGTTGATGTCTCCCATTTCTGCAGAGTGTTGCTCTTCGATATACTTGCCTAGAAATTGCAATTTGATAACTCTTCTGACGAATGAAATTGCCCTTTGACTGTGCTCTATGTAGAGTTATGTAGCACACGGTTATCACACGTAGAAATACTGCTTTCCCGTGACAGAAACTTCTTATCTTTAATGGAATAAAGTGCTTAAGTCGATTCATGCAGTGAAACAGCCGACCTCTCCTGGCACTTCCCAAAAATAACATCGGAACTGACTATGTTTGGAGAAGTCTGTTTGTTAGAAACGCCAACAAATTGTAATACAACACTAAATGTGTGTGGACCGAGTAGACCACATGAGAAATATATGCAAAGACGATTTAAATGCTAAAACTAACTTTGGAGGAGCAAGGTGAGACGACAGACTTCAATTTGACCCTGACATTGCTAAATGCACGTGAGCAGATCTAACGCCTTTATTTTCGCTGGATTGTACACAGTCATTTATCCAACCACATTTAAGACTTGGACTGGATTGCTCGAGGATTTTCAGTCATCCTCTATCAATTTGCGTGAAAAAGACCGGTTGGAGAAGGTTCGTGCAGGTGAAAATAACTAAGTTGTTTCAAGATGGGCTTAAACGATCATGAGTAGCGTTCAGTGTTCAGCAGTTTCTCTCGTGATCAAGTTTTGCGCTCGAGGAACTGTAGCACTGCGCATGTGTCAAGTATTGATTTCTGACGTCTTAGTAAAGTTGAATCTCTAATCTAAATAATGGCTTCAAAAACAAAAACTACTCGTAATATTAATCAAGTTAAAGTTGAGATGAAACACTTTTGGATAACATTTGTGAGAAAACGCCATGAATAGGAGCAGAGTACAATTTGTAACACAACAAACTAATGATTAAAACTAAGTTCAGGAATTTTAAAGAGGATTTCCTGTACTTTGACCTACGTGAAAGCCAGTTAATAATTACTTCTGCCACACTGATCAATGTTTACATGACATATGCAACGTTGAAAGCGCCGCTTGATACACTTAGTTGGATAAAAGAAAAGAAAATTTTGTGTTACACCAAGTAGAGAAATAGCATTAAATACTACACAGGTGTTGATATAAGGTGGTACAGACAGATTTAGTCAACCACGTTATATGTTTTGATATCACTGAAACCACCTCACTACGTACCCCCTATTGTGCTATCTTCTGTACAACTTGCAAAATACACAGTCTATATAATCTGTCCTACATTTCAATTCTACTTAACGATCAAATCGATCATGAACACGAGATTCCTATTTCTCGCTGAGAGGAGATGAAGCATTTTGTTTGCATGTTGTGTACCGTCGTTATCAAGGCTGCCGGTGTTTTTTTAAAGTGAAAAATAAAAAATCCAGATTCTTGGGGTTTGATTGATGCATAACAGTACGTCGACTGGGCTTGAGCTTTGATCTGTATACTTTATTTACATGATGATGTACTTTGTAAAACATTTGATGTTTAATCCTCTTTAATCTCATCTTAATTTCATCATTCTTAACGATTTGATCTTCTTAGCGGTCTTTAATCTCAAGTCCGTGTGAAGGTGATGAAATAGACACTGCACTGATGTTCTTTTTTTAAACATCCCTTGATGATGGTTTTCACTGTAAGAGTACAAGGAGGGGGGGAGGGTAGGGTAGGGTCATAGAGATGTTTGAGGAGCAAAAAAATGATCATGATTACAAACAAAAGAATAAACTTCAAAATGTTTCCTATAGACAACTGTTCTTTGTCCTGTGCTGGAAATCGGTCTATACTTATCTAATACAGAAACAAAAGAAGTGCTTAATTTAAAATGTGAATCAAATGGCGGGTAAATAAACTTGTTTCAGCTGAGAATATGTTTCTCTAGAGAGCTCTAGCCAGATAGTAAAGCTGCTATGTTTGTATTTTCTCGTGTTACTGATCACACGTTGGAAGATACGCAGTCAGTATGTTCAAGTCGAAGGAAAAATCTTGAGTCAACTTTTTAATTGTTTTCTTAATCAACTATACATAATGATATTCTAGCAGAGACAGACAATCTATATGTAAAATCGATACATGTTTCGATAATTAAACTTTTTTCAGTGACATTAAACTAAAATAGCTCCTGTTCTTAATGGTGCTCTATTTCACTAACAATATCTTTTCTTATGACGTCAAGCTACCCTACATACATCAATGCTATAACTAGAACTTTGAATGGATGAATCAACACAACTGCACTGTATCTCTCAAATTTTGTTGTCTCAGTAATCTTTCATAATAAACTTTTCCTCCACTGGTTTCCTCTGGTGTTTCTCCTCGTCTTTCCTAAAGGCCTTCAGGAAATCATACTTTAAAGGTATAATTTCCCGTTCAAACAAGTACTTTGCCAAGAACGAAACCGAGACAATGGTAGAAAAAGAAACAATCATGGACAAAGTACGGAACGGAAACAGCTGACCCTTAACCTCGTCATAAAATGGATATTTAATGAAGGCTGGGAAACCAATTTTATCTTCCCCTCCCCCCACGCGCAGAAAAAGGCCAAATATGTACCCTGCAATGGAGCCGTAAGTGTTGGAGGCTTTGAAATAGATAACACAGCACAACTGTGGGAATAGTATCACAAACACCAGGTCACTGCACAGATGGAATAACACGTAGATGGAACCAACTGACAGAGCCATGGCTGTAGCGGCCGCGCCAACTCCGAATATGGCAAAACGCATCACCCACACAACTTCTTTCTCGGAGGCCTAAAAAACAGAAATATCGAATGATACGTTTCAATTTTGTTCATCTTAAATTGTTATCACCCAGGGGACATTCTTGGAGAGAGGAACTTGAAATTAGCCCCCTTAAAAATAAATGCAAGTAAGTAATGCTGAAGTTCCCAAATTTTTCAAAAAAGGGGTTCATGCAACCATCGTCTTTTTGTTTCCCCATCGGCCAGCGTTAAGTCTCAGAGGCAAAATACGGACGGTATCCTTTTGCGTTACATTCAGAACTGAGTTTGCTACGTCGTAGACTCTCTAGTATACAATACATCCCGCCGCTAATGCGAGGACCTCGTCGAGTCCCTGGAAACTTATAGCTTAAGCACTGAGCCTGGCTACAAAGCGCTTACCTTCTGTCTAAAGATGAGTTTGTAAATGTTATGGGCAAACATGGAGCTGGCTGAGAGCATACTGGAATCAGTGGATGACATGACAGCAGCAGACACAGCACCCAGACCAATGAAGGACACAGCTGTTGGTGTGAGATACTGAAGTACCATGGGAAGGATCAGAGTTTTATCGACATATACTGAGGCTATTTGGTTGGTGATGTTACCCTCAGGTGGTTTGTAGAACGAAGTTTGGGTCCAATCTAAAGGAAAAAAATTCAGACTTGTAATCTCGTAATCAGGTAGGATAAACTTACTAATGAAAGGACCAATGTGATTGAATTTCCTCCCTTTTGGAAAATAAGGGGCAATGTGGCCTTATGGACTGTTTGATTGCGGATGGAAGGAATGAAATTATAATATCGCCTCTTTTAAAATCAAGAGTGTAAATGGTGCTGTCAAAGAAGTGCCCCGAAAACCTCAAAAAACAGGTACGCAGGGCAAACATGTGCTACTAAGATCACATGGTGTGTGAACTATATTCTCCAAAGAGTTCGTTTCTTCAAGGATCGGGAGATCTTTTCAACATGAAGACTAGACGGTTTGTGGCTTCGACGGCATTTATGAACTTAATGATCTCTCTTCCTTTTCCTTGCGGCAGTTCTGCTAAGTATTTGTATTTACGATATTTAGACGGGCTAGCTCAGTTCAGCTTGAAGGTGGTTTAAATGGGGGCCTGTTATATATAACAAGGATACCAGACCACAAAACCTGGAGTTGCGTTCCCTACTCTTTGCTGTAAGTGTGTGGGTTCTTTAACGTCCCCTGCTAACCAGTACAGAGAAGATGCAAGAGGCGGGGCCTACGGTTTTTCGTCTTAATCCCAGAAGACTAGAATGTCTAACCGTTTGCTGATATCATAGCAAAGGCAGCACATTCTCCTCAGTCAAGACCATGAGTGTTGGTCCGGCTTCAACCCTCGACCTCCCGTACGGCAGTCCGGTGCTCGACAATATGAGCCAACCGGGCGGCGTTAAAGTATTACTATTTTCATTTCTGCATCGCGATTTTCATCAAATGAAGCATTCCTCATCTCCGTGAAATATATCTTCGAAATAAAATGTTGGAATAACTTAAACAGCGATAAGAAATACTAGAACAGAATTTCTTGTGGTAGAATCCAAGTAGATTCATGAGAAAGGACATATGTTGTCGACAGAGGAACTTCTGCGTGGTGCAAATATTTCAGTATCACCCCTACATAGCGGTTTCCGTCAAATGGAGTGTTTTTCACCTCAGTTATAATCTCTGACAATAGACGGTTCGAATTGCGCAAGCGAAATAGACAAAAAATTTGCTAGGGATAATTGGTAAATATCCATAAAGGTGAAAAAGCGATAATTGTTACTGCATCACGGACAACAGTTTCAGTGCTAACCCTTTCGCTTCCCAAAATCAACTCTACCTTCCGTTACGTCATAATCATTGCATATTATGTAAGCAGTCAATGATCAGAGAATTGCATTAAACTCCTATCCCTCGCCAGCGAAAGTAACTGATTGAAGCCCAATCCCTGACCAGAAAGAGTAAAACGTATGTTTTAAAGTTACCTGTTGAGGCGCCGATGGCTCCGATGAGTATTGCAGGAACAGCCATGAACATGCATCCAAAGGAAGCGTTCAGAGACAATATACGAGCCTTTCCTGGTGTCTTGCACGACAACACACGCTGAAAGTACACTTGCCATGGAAGGCCACCGCAGATCTGGTCAGTAAAAATGAAGAAACAAAATGAGCACTAAAACGCAAAAGGGCGTGCAAGCCCGAATAATGAGAAAACGAGCGTTGTTTGTTTCACTGCTAGAATCATGGACTATGGTAAAAGGTTAGCAAAAGCGGAGCTTACCAGTAACATAGCATAGTCCAACCATACTCCAATCTTTGCTGTAGGTATCTCTCCAACCCATTTGCTGGAATCTTTTGTGATACTAGTCACTGCTTTGTTAGTCATGGCGAATGGAATACTGAGCCACTAGTAAGTGAAGAAGAAGCAGTATAATTAAAACAAGGGAAAATGTCTGTAGAACGAACACAGAATGAAAGTATGATGAAAAACACATTTTTGAATAAATCACGATTTAAGTTCCTAGCTATGAAGCATCAGCCGATCGGCTCAGAGCCAGCGTCAGTCACAGTAGTTATTAAAATCCTAAACCGTCTTCATTACGTGTCCTCGTGTGGTTTTAAGAAAAGACTAGGTCTAGGTTGTAATAACGCGCATGTCACAGAACAGAAGACTGCTGACCACACTCACCAATCCAACAAAGATGCAGATGAGTTGTATAACATCAGTGTAAGCCACAGAGTACAGTCCACCCATTAACGTGTAGAAAATAGCAATGCACGCAGAAACAACCACAGAAGTCAAGCGATCCAAGCCGATAACAACACTCACAGTGGCACCAAGAGCTGACAAGATGGCGCCAGACCAAAATACTTCGCCCAACAATGCTGGAATGTATAACAATCCACCCATACGTGGACCGTACCTTTCCTGGAAAGGGTCAATCATGGTGATGTACTCTCTTTGGCGCATGATCTTGGCAAAAAGTAGTCCCCCTGATAGTAAAAAGTAATTTTTTTTAGAGCCATCAGAATCTCTCATTTATCCAGGACGACCCAGTGATTTTTAATCGTATTTTTAATGTCTAGAAGATCAACATCTAATATTTCAAGTTTTAAGCATGTTGTGAGGAACTCCATAATGATTACCAACTGAACTGGTCAAATTATGGAGAAGTGAGCAACTAGTTTAAAATTTTTCTTTTTTCTATTCATCTTGTTATTTCTAACTGTATACATTTAGTTAGGTGGTCTGTTTGTGTTTGGGCTCTTCGACTCTATTACTGATAAATCTTAGTGCATTTCTTTTTTGTTATGGTTATCTTATTTTGTCCATTGCCACTAGATTATAATAAATAGGCCAGTTTTATAAATGTCAGATATCAAGATGTCTGACCTAAACGTGAATAGTCAAATAACTAAATAACTAGCAAGGAATCACCAATGGCACTTCGAAAAAAGTGGATTGTCATCAACTGAATCGACATTGAATTGGAATTTGAAATTTTTTTTTTCAATCTAATCTGGGCTTAGATTTAGCAGTGATTGAGTCACCGACAAGTGAGAACAGTTGAAACGACTTAATTCTGTCAGGCCCAGCCCACCTACGCCCTGCTTAAAGTCGTCGTCCTAACCGTAACGAAGAAGTGTATGTTTGATCCCAATTGTCGATTCAAACCATTTGCAATTCCATGGACAGTAGTTTGGAAATTCTCGAAAAAATCTTTCAGATCCTTTGATAAAACTCCCTACCTCCGAATTCGCTCTCTTACTTACCTAACCCCAGGCTAAGGGCATAGCCCCACGGAGCCTGGGCCCAGACGAGACCTTGGTCTTTATCAAAGAGTACTTCCGCTGTACCATTGATGTATCCTCCACCGACCCATGTTGCTATGGAAACAAACAACTTGTCAGGTTTGCAAAATTAACAATCAGAAGACTTTGAGACCTACGTTAGTTGAATTATAAGGGAGGGGAACTGACTCGTGGAAAATTTGCAGGAGCTTTGTTTTCTAGTTCCCTGAAATCCCCCGAACTCCCTTAAAGACATCGCCAATTCTCTGTTTTGTCCTCAGTAGAGGACTTAGAGATGTGCGTGAGTCAAATTAGAAGATGGTGAACCTATACGTGGGAAATTAATGAGAGTTATGATTAAGACAGCTGAATTACCTCGAATTGTCCGAAATGCGTAGAACGGCTCTCTGTTCTTAACCCACTAAATTTTTTTCAGAAAAACTCCCTAGAACGTGTACAATTTGTAAATTTAAGATTGCAATAGACACTGAAATAAATAATTATGGATTGTAATTACTGTTTATCATATAGATGTGGATGAAATACCAGGATTTTTCCTTTTACTAAAAAATCATATCTTCATCGCGCGCAGTGAAGATACTATTTTTATCTTTCATGTGTGAGGATATTGGTGTCGCCATGGTTACTAACATGATCGGCCGATTACAAGAGAGCTTCCCACTCAGGCGCGCCGCCGGTTCTTTTGAAATTTCATCAGTATCTATAAAATAAACAGAATTCGTGCCGAAAGTATCTCTCACGAGTGAGTGAAGCGAACGAGTAAAAGATATTTACAGCACGAGAAGATAAAATTCGTATCCCCGCGCGGCCATGTAATATCCCTTATATATGAAATGAGTGCAACTCACAAAGTTGACTTATGATGAAGAATCTTTTGACTTCCTGTTAATGTACGAGTCTGTTACAAGAGTTCTCCCCGTAGTCAATTGTGAATGAAAAAAATTGCATTTGTGGCGAAGAATTCGGAATTTCTACTGATTACCTGTCAAAGTAAAGGTGCCCACAACCATCCCAATACTTCTTCCTGCTAACATGGTCTCTTCCTCATTGTCCTTTCGCCGGCGAGCAGCCCATAAACCAATGGCAAGAATGAGCAGGTAAAACAAAACAATCGATACGACACCAGCAACGTTGATGTCTGACATTTTTGGGTAGGATCACTTTCTTTTGGTCTGCTTTCGAGAGAAAATAAGACGAGTGCACTTTTTTTGGGAATTCCTACTTACTTATAGAACGAGCAGGAGGGCCTGAAGGGAAAAATTTGGCTCGAGGCCATCACGTACGGACCAGGCGTAGCAAGGTCCGTCCGTCATGACAGCAAGTCATACATTCTCTAGCTTGTCCGACCTTAGAAAGCGCTTTCAATGAGCATTTGACTGGCCTTACCTCACATGTCGTAGGGCCGCACGGCTTTTTTCTGGCTACTGAGCTCATGCTGTTGCGAGCTTGTGCCGCGGTTTGTTTTGTTTGTTTTTTAATGCGCTCGCGGAGCCATGCAGTTTATATCTTCAAGTATTATCATAGAAAACATAATACTACAGTATGAGTTGACAATGTTTGACACACTAGACTAGTTTTTCGCAAAACAAGTTTGTTACAGATGGCATATCAACATCGGCGTGTTTTATCAAGATATGAATCACAAGGGAAGTTTTGGAGAGAAAATTGCTCGAGGCGTAACCGATAGCAAGTTGAACTTTTTGTATGGTATTTTCTAATGAATCAAACCTTTTGAGAAACGCAGTGTGCTGTAGAAATCGTTTTCCTCTAAACAAAGCTCTAATAAAACAAGAATTGTTAAATAACTTACTATCAATGAGAAAAAAAGGATAGCTTGTTTTACTCATAAATCAAGACCTAAGATAAAAATAGGCATGCTCACTACAAATGCAAGAGTTATTTATATGGGGAAGGGAACACTGTGCAACTGATGTTTTCATTGTATTCTCCAATGGAAAATCATATTACTTTACCTTAATGGGGATACAAAAACCTTTCAACTGATTTATCTAAAATAACCTCGAAAACAGGAACTTTCTGTTTATCATCTCTGCATAATTAAAAAAAAAAAAGAATTAAAACTGCTTTGGTGCCACCAACGCTTACAAACGCTCATCCTCGGTTCTCAGCCAGAGACAATAAATCAAAATTATTCAGACACAGTTATTAGCGTCAAAAATATCATCCTACATAATTTAACTATGGCAAACAAACCTAAACCCTATTTCATCTCCTATAGACCCTAAAAATATCTCCGTCATTGGAATAATCGAAAATACACGGAATGAAGAGGGAAGGATCGTATTTCAAAGCCCTTCGCTTTGCCATGACAACGTGGGCTTCTTGGCTGAATGTTACCTATGTAGAAATTTTCATTTGTGTGTAGAAAATGTATGTGAGGGTTAAATGTAAAATTAATTTTTATAGTAATGTTTACGTGACAAAAGTTGTCGTCCAAAAGTTATGCCGCTTTCTATATTTTCGGACACTCACCCTTCTTAAGACCCGATTTCGAATGCACCGTTCTCCGTATCCCGTTCGTCATTCCCTGTTCCTGTCTTTTTTACAAAACCCTTAAAAAGCCAGAGTTGCTTTTGGTTGCGCCTCAAGCAACTCAAGCAACTTTCCATGTGCTTCATATCTCGATGAAGCACATGAGAAGTGAAAATCTCGCTCAAAACCTTACGATAGCAGTCTGTGGAAACCCCAATTTATATGAAATACCAAGAAAGATCATACCAGGCATTGGGAAAGATCCAATTTGTCAGAGGAGATTCTCAACTGATGTGGATCTAGCAATTTTCAGGGAATGAATAGCTCTGAAAGTGCAAGAGGAAATCTAAGGACCAGGGAACAGTGACAGTGAGACAGTGGGTAACATTGCGAAGGGAAAAGATCAATCAAGTGATAACATTCGGCAAAGGATGAAAAAACAGGACACATGGCTAAGGGTGAGTCATTTGTTCTCGATCTCATTCGTTGTAACACTCGGAGTAGATACACGTCCAAAATGCGGAAAAAGTGAGAGCGATTCGTTGTTGGTCTCTTCTTATCAGGTCAAAGCGAAACTTATGTAAAGATTAAAGAGAACTGTCAGGACTTGAATAACAACCATTCTGTGCATGTCATAACAGTGTTACTATAGATTAGACTCGCATACCGTGCATGTACTTAACGCAGACGCACGAGGAACCTTCATACTAATTTATATGAGTCTCTGAGTTGTTAGATTGTTGTTGCGTTGCACCGCTATATGTATTTGATTTCGCCTTTTATTTACATTTTTTCATTGCATTGCCATTGTGTTACCATGAAGAAAAGGGATTAAAAGCTACAAATTATGCAGTTCAAACGAATAGCCTAAAAAAATCTCCCTTATTCGCGCATTAATAATAATAGCATTCTATTTCACAGCACTTGCATTTATACTCGTTTAAATTAATAAATGGGAAATATGATTGTAGAGCGGACTCGGGGGAGGGGGTGGGGGACTTTTTGTAGCGGTGAATGTAGCCAAACAATGAGGGTCCGCGTTCCGCTGGAAAAACTAAGTGAGATTAGATTGAACGAATCTTCTTGGAATCTAACTTAAGGAATCCAAGAAAATGTTTCGTTATTCCGTTCTTCAACTCTGCATATCATTATAGGCGTTGTGAATAGAAACAATGCCACAACTGTATTTATTTTCCTGTCATGGTATTGTATAAGCAAAAATCTTTGACAACCTGAGCACTGATTTGCTAATTATAAGTCACCTGTTAATCGATCACCTCATAACAAAATTGCTTAAAATAGAAGTATCTCCGTGCATCCTACTTGATCCAGTGTTAGAATGTCGGATTTGATGAGGAGTAACTATTTTAAGAACAGTTATGCAGCCTAGTGACGGCCGAGACTGGCGCATGCAATGCCTGTAAACATACTTAAATAAGCAAACATAATCAGGACTTTGACCTGCGCTTTGAATCTGTGATTATTTCGTTGAAACTGACCCTTTTAACCGAATATGCGGTTAAGAGTTAAGGATATATAAACTGTCTGTTTCAGAAATGCAAACTTTTCTAGAAGAAACAAATTCAACTCGAGGAAACTTAATTGATTTGATAGCAGCACGAGATAAGGAAACTTCATTCTTTGAAATACCGTTATTTTAAAAAAAAATTGATTTAGCGGTCACTATGATAACCAGAAACTCACCTTGAAGTAGTCAGCTATTAATGGCACTGAACAGAAATAAATTGTCTAATTAAAATATCGACCAATACAGCGAAATTCACAAAAACAAGCGACGACGTTATGTGATCCTGTTCAGGGTGTACTTTGTTTAAGGCTGCCTCGAGTTGCATAACCGTGACTTAACGCATTAATTATACCTGCTATCTCGATAAGTCTTGGAAAGATCTCCATTTACTTACTTCTCGAAAACATCTTAGTTTCTTAGTCAGGAACAGATTTGTAAACGTTGAGTCGAGCGTAAAGCTCTCGATTAATGCAACTATCGGTATGCCCGGACTCAGGGTCCTCGTCGATCTATTGATAGCCGGACCGGATGAGTGACGTTTTACAAAACCGTTTCCTTATCATTATGCGTTTTTCTGAGTTGAAAATGTTCACAGTGTCCTTAAATGAAAACTTAGGTAGTGTGGGTTATGATACAGACTCTGAATTGAAGCACAACTCACCTGTTGTAATGCGTGCTTGTTGTCGCAGCTGCTGTGGGAACAAAGCTCTGAAGTCGGTAACCAAAGAATGCATAAAGGCAAACGTATGATTGATGAAATAAAAAACGTTTGTCTTGTCAAAATTATGTTTAGAGGTCATTCGCGCAGTCTTGACTCCCGACGAAAGTTCCCAGGAGGGGGTGTACACTTTAAGTGCGACGGAAAAAGCAGAAAGATATACGTCCGAACTGAATATAATACACAAGAGAATTTGAACTGATTTAATCGGTACTATTGCATGCTTTCGATGATTTCCTTAGAGACAAAATTAGGGACGAAATGAACAATCAACAAGGGCAACAAGTGGACGTTGGTATCTAAGCTTAACACGAAACCAGAAAACTGATTCCGAGTAGAAGCGCCCCCCCCCCCGGGAAAATTGTGCGGGAATGATACAATCAGCTACTAAGTTTTATTTGGCTCCTTTTCAAATTTTATCAGCCGAAAGGCGAGATAAGATGCAGGTTTATTGTGCACCATACTCAGCTGTCTGCCGGTTAAGCTTGAACTGTAGCTAGCTCAGAAGAGTTTAAGGTTATCTTTACTCGTATGCTAAAATGTTATTTTGCTGGAATAAGACATTTCTACAGCAGAGTGAAATCTTCTTCTAAAAACAACTTCTATTTATAACTCGGTATTGTTTTCCTCAAACAATCTTAAAGTCCCGAACGTCAGTTAATGGGCTTTGTTTCGATTTTGTTGCGTAATGGGGGTGTGACTGTTTTGAAAGTACCTCAGACGAATTTAAGCACTTTGTCTGAGGGAGGTATGGGTCGAATTGGGGGAACTTTCCGGTAATCTATTTTAAATGTGTATCACGCCTCGATGAATAACAAAAATTTTCAGAGGTAACTAAGGGACGCTTATTGATACAAAAGGTGACAGCAATCAATTTTGGGCTAAAAAAACCCTCACTCAGCGAGTTCACTTTGTTTGTTTGTTTTTTTTTAATCCGCGCTAACGTGGTGTCGTTTTCAACGAAAGCAGTTGCTGAACATTCCAATTGGGGTTCCGATCACTTTAGCCAATAGTCAACATGAACTACAAGAAGGAAGAAGCCGACATCGACGGGCAGCGAACTTCTATCCTAAAAGTAAACACGAGATTTAAAATCATACTTCCTGGTCTCAATAATAAGGGAGGCCTCTAGAAATATGCCAACGTACGTAAAGCCATTGAGGATTGACAGGTTGACACGGAGTAACATTAACCTGTTTTATCACTTGGGGCATCAGTGGATTTGGTGCTCTCTTTCTGAATAGTACTTAACTTGTTTTAGATGTATCAAGCGATCACAGTGGGTTAAAGCACGTGAACAGAGCGTGTTAGACCATAGCGTGTTGTTGTTGTTCAAGCTTAACAGTCTTAGCTAGGGTCAGATGAATTAAGCTCGAAAATTTAAGCGCTATACTTGTGATGGTCACCCCTGAAAACATGGCACTACGCCGAACACTATACTCAAAATATTTCATCATGCTCAGTTTAATAATTTAAAATAATAGCTCAACCTTCTTTCCACTCCTGAACTAAACATGACCTGCTTCAAAGTCAGATTGTTATAGGAGGCGACTGTTGTGATGTATAATCACAGATTATGCCAGGGCTGCTTGCAGCCTGCAGTATAAGATGGATTATTCGAAGATAAAGGAGACGAGTATAACAATGTCCCTCCCGCTCCTCCCCTTTGCCTCTGGTGTGGATATTGGGTCATGTTCTTATTGGGTATAGTTTAGTGTTAACCTATTGTTCCCCCTTTTTTTTTTTTCTTTTCAGCTGTTTTTGTTGCAGGAGTTTCCTTGTTTGTTGCGTTGTTCAAGTTTGAAAGCCTTTTTCCGCCACCGGCTCTTCTGGTTGTCGCTCAATAAAATGGCGATGGGATGGACTCGGCACTATGCCTTACAGAATGGTGTTACTTTTATGTTAATTTATGCATTTTTTGCTTTGAATACGCTGTTGTGGTTTCAGTTTAGAGCGAAATAAAGTTGGTAACACATTGTTATACTCGTCTCCTTTGTCTTCGTATAATCCATCTTATACTACAGGCTGCGAGCAACCCTGGCATAATCTGTGATTTCTTGTATCGAACCCAAAAACTTGCATCAGCGTCATTTCACTTCTGAAGATCTCCATATTATTTAAGATTCGGCAGCAAAGCTTTCGTTACATTCAATAATACTAAAGTTTGTGACTGGCCAAAGGAAAAACTCGCGTTACTCTCTAAGATAGCACGCCAAATTTATTACGATTTCAATGTGCTTATTCCCTAGCATTCGAAAACTGTTACTTATTTGCGTCCTGTTCTTAAAACGATAACACTGATTTGTTGTCACAGTTGGTTCGGTGTAACTGACTAGTTTTGGTTCATGACAACTTGATCACTTATTAGCTCCGGTCCGTTGTATCGAGAAGTCAAAAGTAAAAGGTCTGCCACAGATTCATATTTTAAAAATGTCTCCGATATTCAAGGGTCAATACGCTCTGTTTTCCTCCATTGCGTATTTCTCAGCACCTGTTTGTTTTTGTAAATCATATTGCCTAAAGCAACGAAGGAAATCAAACTTCAGTGGTATAATTTTCCTCTCAAACAAAAACTTCAGAGAGTACGACACCACAACAATTGTGACAAATGAAACGATCATAGCCAAGGTACGGAAAGGAAACAATTGGCCATCCACGTCATTGTAATACGGGTACTTAATGAGCGGTGGAATACCAATTTTATCCTCCCCTCCCCCAATGCGTAGCACCATGCCCAGTACGTAGCCCATGAAGGAGCCATAAGTGTTGGTGCCATTAAGGTAGATGACACAGCAAAGCTGCGGGAACAGGATCACATAAACCAGGTCACTGCACAAGGCCCACAACGAGTAGATAGACCCCACTGCCAGAGCCATGGCTGTAGCGGCCGCGCCAACTCCAAATATGGCTATACGCATCACCCACACAACTTCCCTCTCGGAGGCCTGAAAATTAAGGTTGTGCCTTTAGTTGAGCGTTGTTACTCAACGTTTCACACATTCGAGATGCTCAGGTAGGGAGGGATCAGACAGACCTGAATTTATTACGTCTTCATAAAGGCTGTTGTTTAGTTTCGTCGAGCGACACTAAGCATCAAAGGGGGTAAGTATCTAAAGAAACTGATGCTGCGTTGGTGAAGGGTATTACAAGATAATTTGGTTTTATCAGATAAGATGGGAGTGCCAATTGGCCGACGTAAAGAGTTTCTATAGTTGATGGTTCGAACGTTAGCCTATCGTCAGAGCAGATAACGACCAAGCAACAGCTGCAAAGGAAACAAGAATTCATAAAGACGTTTGTAAAATCGCTAACTTTTGTAGAGAGAGAAGCTACTAGGCATTTTATGCCGTACACATTTTCAGATGCCTCGAAGATTTTTGCAAGACAAATATCCTCCACTTATTTGATTGGTCTCAACACATCTGCTCAAGGAAGGTTTGACGAATTTCAAATCGTCAGGTACGGAAGTAGTGTTCTGAGATCGTGCTTAAAAACACTACCCTAGAAACTAGAGATCCCAATAGAATAATCCGCAAAGAAGCCATATCAAATCCAAGAGACAAGGATACGATACTGAAGACTTACTTATGCATTTTCAGTGGGAGATCATAGAAACATTGCTGTGATCGCATACTGTTATCACTTACTTTTTGTCTGAAGATAAGTTTATAGACGTTTCGAGAAAACATGGAGCTTGCAGAGAGGATGCTGGAGTCTGCGGACGACATGACAGCGGCAGACACAGCACCCAAGCCAATAAAGGAAACAGCTGTTGGTGTGAGGTACTGAAGCACCATGGGAAGAACCAATGACTGTTTAAACTCGGCCGTCTGATTGGTGGCATTACCAGACGGCTTAAAGTAATCTGTCTTGGTCCAGTCTAGAGTGAAATCAAAGAAGATTTAGGTATTTCGTTAATGAGTTAACTCGATAAAGCTATAACACATAAGTTGCTTTAATAAGACCAATAGGCCTCATCACAACTTTTACTTAGTATGCTTGCTGAACTTCGTTGACGAGATATTTCAAATTAACATTAAAGACCAATTCATTCAAAACGTTGGCAAAATTGTAGTTTTTCTTGTATCTGAAATGTACGAGCATAGACTCTTGTCTAAAAAGCACATGCAAATTAAAGCTAAAAAGTCATGGAAGATGATAGAATATTTCCTTCTTGAGTAAGGAATCAGGTATTTACCTGCAGACCGACCAATCGCTCCAATGAGGACCGCCGGAATAGCCATTAGGATACATCCGAACGAGGCTGCGAAGGAAAGACCCCTGGCCTTAGCTGCTGTTTTGCAGGACAACACTCGCTGAAAGTAAACTTGCCATGGAATACCACCAAATGTCTGCACAGGAGATAAAACACATATCACTCTCGGAAATATTCGAAAACTTTACTGACAGGGTGTTCTCCAAAACTTGCTACGAGAACTGGTAGCTTCCACGGTAACTTGATTTGAAAAGTGGGACCTCTCCCGCCCCTTGTTTTCCCGCTTCTCTCCCTCTCCCGCCCCGTGTTCTCCCGGGCTCCCGCCCTCCTGTCCCCCTCCACTTAACAGCCGTTAACTCAAGCCATTTCAGACTTAACCCGTTGACCCCTATGAGTGACTGGCGTCAAATTTCTCCTTATATTGTCACCCCTGAATCACGCATTAGGGTTACGAGAATAAAGGAAATGATCACTAGAAGCTCTTGACTGTCTTCCTCGTCAGTACCTTAGAAAATGTATACAGAAGAGTATGTAAAATATACATACTGATGTTATTGTCACCCCTGAATCACGCATTAGGGTTACGAGAATAAAGGAAATGATCACTAGAAGCTCTTGACTGTCTTCCTCGTCAGTACCTTAGAAAATGTATACAGAAGAGTATGTAAAATATACATACTGATGTTAGGGCGCAAAGGGTTCATAATAATCAAGCACTATAAAGTGTATGTCTAATCAGATCTTAGTCTCATAGCTGTGGTATACATCAGTCAGTAACATTACAAGTGTTTCGATATTATTACTGCACCATTATTTATGCTACGCTCGGGATTAGAGAGTATAGGAAAGTTGGGAGTGTTACTTGTTTGTGTCTCCCTATTAGACTCACTGAATAACTAGAATACAAGGCAACAACACATAATAGGATAGACGTTGTCGGATTTTGCAGGAAGAAGGAAGGACTTTTACCAGCAACAACGCAAAATCGAGCCATACTCCGACATATGTGTTGGACCATTCACCAACCCACTGCGTGGATGTGTCTGAAATACTGCTTACTGCTGAATGTGTCATGGCGAAGGGAATACTGAGCCACTGGAAGGAAAAGACCGAGGAGGTTAGTGCGCAAAATGTCCCAAACACCCACGCCTAACGGAACAAAAACAGCAGCACAATGACGAAACTGGAAAGATCTTTTCTTGATACATCGAAATTTTTTTCGTGACAGACAAGTTTCAATAAATGTAATATGTTTAGAAATAAATTTTACAGGAGCTAAAGGAACTCTGTCCATCCCGAATATGGAGTCTACAGTCGTAAATTTGGTCATCTGCAGCCCGTGACGATCTTTATCGTCCATACCCATCCCCATTCCTTCACGGCCTCATCATCCTTCATTGGTGTTGATGTACCCTGGCAAATGATTACATCAGAGTATCCCTCATTTAAAACAAATTTATCCTTCCATAAAAATGTAAGGTCATATGACGTAGCTCCTTGAAGCCGCTGACTATACTCACCAATCCTACGAAGATGCAGACGAGTTGGATGACATCCGTGTAAGCGACAGAGTATAGTCCACCAATCAGAGTGTAGAAAATAGCGATACAAGCGGAGACAATAACGGAGGTAGTTTCATCTAGGCTAATCACCACACTGATGGTGGCTCCAAGAGCAGCCAGGATAGCTGCAGACCAAAATATTTCACCCAACAGAGCAGGAATGTACAACAGTCCGCCCATGCGCGGACCGTACTTTTCTTGGAAGGGATCAAGCATAGTGAAGTACTCTTTTTTGCGCATGATTTTGGCAAAGGCCAAGCCACCTTAAAATTAGAGGAACATCACGTTATACCGTTCTCCGCCGGGTTTCATGTCATTGCACCCTAATACATTTCCGCCACTTTTTCGCGATTGTATCACTTATTTCTGTGGTATTCCTCTCGGAAATGATAAAATTAGAGATCGATTCACGAATCACACATTTGCACATCATCAAATAAAGAAAAAACAAGCAATAGGATTGTCTGAAACGCGCAACAAGGACGTTAGTCGCTAGCCGGCCACTTCCTTCCCAAGCGAACTTGCTTTCAACTACAAGCTTATCCAGGGATGCTTCAATGGTCGTGTACTAAGATTTGTTTCCACTCTAGTTCCGTTCAATGATGTTTTTACAGTGTTGCCTTTCTTATTCCACTCACCTATAACCAAACTCAAAGCATATCCCCAGGGAGCCTGTGTCCAAACAAGACCTTGTGCTGTGTCAAACACCACTTCTGCTGTACCATTAATGTATCCTCCGCCCACCCATGTTGCTATTGAAGTAACAAGCACGTGTATTTAGCATCTTAAATTTTCTTAGGGACCTTAAGCAGTCATGAGGAAAACCCCTAGAAAGATATCGAATAAAAAATGAATTGATATTTTTAGTTATAATTTTGCAACCGTCTCTTATGGCGCCACACATCAACCTTAGCATAAATGGAAACTGAAATAAATTGCTGTTGTGGATTTCGTTCTCAGACCACGCAAATTTTGGTGATGTTACGTTGTTGTTTTGCAAAGGACGACTAAGAAGTGTACCGTGTTTTAAAAACGTACGTGCTGAGCTATTGTTCTGCCCATTACATCTTTGTTTTGCCACATCCTCGTTGCCGTCGCCGTCGTCGACTGTAGATTGCATCTTGTTTTGTATTTTAGCTATTTTTGTAGGTTGTATCCGGCATGTGATAAAGATGTCTTAATATACCATTGGTTACAAGAAATTTCCTCTACTGGCAATTTATAAGTTGTATATAAACAAACACTAGCTACTTGCGATTAGAAATTGAAAGTTAGTAAAACAAATGGAAACACTTAAGGAGTCCCTTACTCAGTGTAGGAAGCGTAAAAGATTCGTGCCAGTTGGTAGCGGAGGATGAATAGGATGTTTCGCGAAATGGCGCCAAACTATGAAGTTAAAGGGCCTGTTAAGCCTCATACTCAAACCGAGTCTCTACAATTTTAAAGAAAGGTGGATGAGCTCCGGAGGATTCATGTAATTTTCAATTTCTGGTCGCTGGTAGCTAAAATAAGTTTGTTAATTGTTGCGTCAGATCTTATTTGCGGCATGAAGAATCATGTGTTCTTTAATGTACTTTGGAAAATAGAACTGCTACCATTTAAATGGTGTCACACACACCAAAAAAATGAATAATTGGTTAACTTTCCCAAGAAACGTCTCTAGAAAGAGTAAATCAATATGTAACTGAAAAAATAAAACAAACAAACACGAAAACAAATACTTGATAAAAGAACAAAAAGAAATTGGGACAAATCGGTCCTGCAGAGATTAATAACGAGCCATCAGATACCGTCAGGTGTGAGCAGTATTAGTTCAGCTTTGTCATTTAAATATCTTATTATTACAACCGCTTTCACGAAGGAACCCGAGTATGAAAAAAATAATTTCAATTCTCTTTCCTGTCGGAACACCTCTTTTACCTGTCATGGTGAATGTACCCACAAATATTCCGATACTTCTGCCGGCCAGCATGGCTTCTTCTTCACCTTCCTTCCGCCGACGAGCCGCCCACAGGCCAACGAGAAGTATCAACAGATAAAACACAACAATGGATACCACACCGGCGATGTTTATGTCTGCCATGTTGGCTGAAAGGTGCAAGTGTACGGCAAATGAAAATCAGTCTAAAAAGTTCAAACGATGGAGACCTCATTGCACGTCTTTTTAATCTTAATGAGCAAAATACTTCCAGTCGGCGATTTTCCTAAGTTTCACTTGTTTTGAATGATCGGATCCAAACTTCACGGTATATGGCTGCCAAAGGAACTCGGGAAGTTTCAAATTCATTGGCGACAACCTAGTGAATTTCTCTGTAGCAAATTCTAGTTCTGTGAAGCACGTTTATCCTCTCGGTATATCAATTTCTGTTCATCTGTAGATTGGCCTGGAAGTTCACATTGCATTTATGACCAGCCCTTTGAACCAATCACCGACAAGCAATAAATAGCCAGTGAACGAGTGAAACTTCTCCCGAGTAGAAAATGACATATCTTGATCGATTCTTGTTCTGTCGAAACTATTAGTGAAAGGGGCTCCCACACGTGGGAGCCCCTCTAATATTGCTTTTTTACGTTGAAAAGGTTAATAAGCCACAATAAAATCACAGGAGATCGCGAAATTCGGACGCTCATAAAACGTTGTTTATCACGAAGCATCGCCAAAAAAGAAATTTCTTACTTTGGTTTTTTTTTTTCGCTGTAAGCTATGGTTCAAAAGCTTCGCGTAGGAAAAAACTGTATCCAGAGGAAAAAAAAAATATACTCCTTCGGACTAAAGTGAAAGAAGATATACTAATTATTGGCGGTGAGAAGCTTATGTCCAACGGAAATTAATAGAAGACAAAGTACTTTTTTTATCTTGAAGATGATGAGGGGGAGGGTAGAGGAGATTGTAAGATCTTGTAATCAGGTATTCAAGAGTGTTTAGGTATAGGGGAATCCTTGTTTACAATATTTGCCTCATTAGCATAAGCAATTCAGTTTCTGGTGGAGCTAAAAATAAATCAGTTCTGAATTTCGAAAGATCGAAGTACGATTAACTCGGCCGATGAATACGAGCCTGATGCAATGAAAACTTTTTGAGCAACACCGGTTTAAAAACTCTAAATTTTACATAGAATCTATGAGCTCATGAGCGCTTTTGCCACCCCGAAATTTTGCAGTTTTTGATGGACTATTTCTCCTTGAATATTCCACCCAAAGAGCTAAAAATTTCACCATGTACTAAGGTTTTCTAGCTCTTTAGCTGCCTGAAGTCAAATTGTAGCTAACATGCTTCCTTCTTTCCGAAAAGCCGTATGCAAATGAGCAAAAATGTAAACAATGACGTCAGCATGAATCCGCCTATTAGGAACTTCCATTATTGCACAAGTAGATTTTTATACCTTACCTGAACAACGAACAAGACAAAACTTGAATGACCTTAAAAAGGTAATCAAATTTGAATTAATAAACAATACAATTGTTCACCATTAAAATTCCCACTGATGCCAATTGAATTTTCAAAACCACCAACAAACTTAAAAATTGAAAAAAAAAAAAAAAAAAAAAAAAATTAAGACATTGGTCAGTTGTCTGAAAGAATTTGCAAGCTACATTATAAGTTCCTGGCTGAATGGGAGCAGTTCATCCCCGGTCAGCGAAAGAAAACTCTGAATAATTCGGTACTGGAGAGCATGAAAATGGTCTGAACTCGACCCTCAGTTCACTTCGTCACCTCACACCTTATATCAGGAAAGGAAATTGGAACCGTATTTATTGTTTCTGTCACTTCAAAGCCATTCAAACTTAAAAGCATAACGAAGCATTTTCCGACAAATTATTTCGACTCGTGTTTGATTTCAATCATGCAAATTTGGGTTTATTTACTCAATAACAAAAAACAATATTAAACAAAAGGGTTCACTCTAAAGTAAATCTTCCAAACGTTGAATCTTTTCAGCATTGCAGACAAATTCAAGACTTCACTGTCTACACTACGACGGGAGATCCCTAGGTTACGTGGGCAGAGTTTCCGAACAAAGTCAATCATGATAATTATGGCTTTTCGTAAATGCGATTACAAATTAAAACTAATGAAAAGGTCATTCTGCAATGGTAGTAAAAAATTTGATGTAAATCTATTTTTAGTTGCGAGCCCTTGGTCAATTTAGTTTAAATACAAGTTCAAGTGTGAAAAATTTATGATTTGGCATTTAATAAACTGGCCTTCACGTGCTGAAGCGAGATCATTGAGCAGTGAATATTGTCATCACGCTTTTACAAGCGTTCAGCTCCAGAATAAACATGCGTGTGAAAGGACCCTACTTTTTAATAATATTTAGAGATCGCTGGACCGAATTGTATCAAATATAATCCGTAGGGCCTTTTGTCACCAGGAGAGGTGATGGAAAGAATTAAAGATATATCTATTCAAATTTTGCAACATGGCAGGAGTGGAGTTAATGTTCACAAGTACAATGTTAAATTTCGAGTAGATCGCTTGCGAAAGGACGCGAATAGAATCTCAGAATTAAACACACTATTATGCCAACGTAAATCATCTCCGCTTTACACCAAAAGTTTATGAAAGGTAAGTTCAGTTCTTATCAAGATCCACAATCATGCGTTTTGTTATGTAGCGAGAGCATCCCTTACTGTTATACCTCCATCGAAGAAAAAAACAAATAGGCAAACTAGCAAAATTCATTGATAATAAACAGCCTTAAAAGAGATTCAAGCTTCACTGAAAAGTCATTTACCTGTTCCTTGGAGGCTCTTAATTTGCTTCTTAAAGTTAGTATTTTTTAACTGTTTGCAAAGATGCAGCTCCACTCCTCTCTCTCCAGGCTATATATTAGCATCCACGCCTACCCACCGGGGATCCCACGGGACTACCTTCGTTTTCACCTTATTTTACTTGTAATAATGATTTGACAAATCAAAAAAGGCCAAAAAGGTTTACAAACCTGATCAAGTTTTGCTCCTTACGAAGACTCTTTGTTTTTGATTTGGACGTGACCTCTATAAGGACTGTGCGCTATGTCCCTCCCACGCAAATAGCAACACAGCCAAGGGTCTGGGAATGAACATGAGGGAACAACTGTCATGGCGACTGTGGTGGGCTCTGAGAGGATGTAAACATTAACTTTTTCCTTTATAATATTCTCGAAAGCCTCTATGATTGTGAAGGATTTTAAACATTTTCGCGTAAACTTCAACTTCTGACGCATCCAAGCATTTCATGCTTGTCTTTTGGGGATAAATAAATGAGATCTTCCACTTTCCTTGGAGGTCGGTCGTATGAGCAAAAAGAGGACTTCTTCAGAGCTTCAAGCATACATCCAACAGCGATATGAAGATACAGCCTTTGCTATTCACCGCACACGACAAGCAGAGAAAAAAAGAAACTTAACTGGGAATAGAATAAGTCCTTCAAAAGTCCAACAAGCGTTCGAGAATATTGCAGAGGTTGAACGCAATCATCTAAAAGTCGGATCTGCCGAGACTCAACCTGTTTCCGCAACGAACGTTCAATCGCAAGTCTGCATTATCATCTAGGGTCAGTTGACATTACCTCAATTCAAACCAACTGCAAGTGTTTAACAAAAGAACACAGGCATTTTCAGGAAACCGGTGGATTGTTTATGTAGGAAGTAATTTCAATGATAAGAACTCAGCCTTTTATTCCTTACAAAGTGACTGAAGTTCTTCGGAGACAATTTACCTTTGCTGTTGACCTCAAATTATTTGAGTTTAAATATATATATACATATATATATATATATATATATAGAAACATCGCACATTAGAATATACAAATTTATATGATCGGTTTTGAAGGAAGATAGTTTACTGCTCAGAGGTCGTCGTTTGCACCACATTCCTTCATTCAATTTCCAAACACGTGCTTATAATGTGGGACGATTTGGATTTGCTTGCATTGCGCTCGTGTGTAAACTCTTCTACAAACACTTCTAGAAGCTTTAGAGTCCATTCCTGGATTTTAAAGGCTTTAATTTTATGACAAGCAATCTTATGCCTAGAGTTTGTCCTCTTTCTAACCAATAAAACCCTCACGACTTTCCATAACCAAAAGCATTCCTTGATGAACGATTGTAAAGTTGGTTTAAAATAACTAGAGTGGCCATTGAATCAAAGAAATGCTTCTCTTGTCCTCCTCAGAAGAAGAATTTCGAGCAGTTCCTCCAAGCCTGGAAAATGATGTTGTGGAATTCTATGACTTTCCCACTTCTCCCTGCCCCTCCTGTAAAAGCACAGTATACCCCAATTGAGGGAGTAATTATTGGTCACCAAGCATTTTACAGTTATACGACCTGATAACATATGGCTAGGGTACTCACAGCAAGACTATACCTTTAATGTTAGCTTGACACAATTTAGGACCTAGAAAACTACATAGAAATTGCATGATAGCATCAAAGTCACTTAAATTGACTGGGGTGGAAATCCAAAGGGCTTATACAAGTGGAATGTTATATTGCCAAGACAAAGCTGAGTTTATCACCTTTGAGTTTATCACCTTCTAGACTATGCGGGGGCAGTAACCAACAACTTGTCTTAATTTTTTATTCAATGAAAATACAAACTCTTAAGATAGGTATTAACCAGTGTAGCAGGTGCTTTTGGGGGCTCAGGTAAAAACAAGGTGGTGGAGCCACAAAAAACAAGGAGCAGACCTTCTTACTACTCTTCAGGTGCTGCAGCTTGAAACTCTCTTGAAACCTTGAAACCTATGCAGCTACAACTAGCTGCATAGGTCAGCCTAAAGGGACTCATGGGGTATCTCACCTAACAGTGGGTCACCAGGCAACCAGTAAACTGACATTTGGCCAGTGGTTGACCAAAGCTCTGATTAAGATGATGCCTCACAATTACCCAACCATCAGCCCATGTGTCAATTGACAACTGGCTGAAGAATTATGTATTGCCCCTAAAGTAAGCATGATCCAACTTCTCATACAACAATTTCTCTTCTCAATACCACTTTAATTTTGACCCTCCATTTTTGCATAGACAATCCACAATATAACATAAGGGTGCTTTAATCAACTTTACATAATAATAATATGAAACATTAACTGAATGTACTACAACTTAAGTAAATTTTCTTTCTACTACTGGGAAGAATTGAAATTTGGCCTTGATTGACAAATACTCTCCAATTATGATATTTGCAAAACATGTTGAAAGAAAATTTGTATATATACTTAAAGTGAGCCAATAAATTATCAAAATTTTGAACTACCATTGTAGTCCATATTCTAAACATAAACAATGCCTTGGTCAGCAAGAATTATTATTGCTAAGGAGCAATGTAACAGTATGTTAAGCTTCCCAAAATTCTTTATAAGAAAAAACACGTAATCTTTGTTAGGATGTTTTAAAATTTTAAACTTATCAGTCAATTGCAGCTGATTTTATATTGAAACAAATGGGAAATTTGTAAATGACCTTTTCAAAAAATATTGTTTGCATTAAAAACTAATGAAAATTGATCAGAACAGGTACTGGTAAAACAAAACTCTAAGTGCTGTAAAAGCCTTTGTCTGCTGCCTTTCAGATTTGTAAAAACATAATGCAACAGAGAGTGCTCTTTCTTAGCAAATATCTTTAATATAATTCAATTGTTTTGCCATGCACACTGTTGACTAGTTTAATTTGCATGTCCACCACTCCACATATTTGCAGTCACCTTGTAAGCAATGAGATAAAGAGAAATAGTTTTACAACCACTTAATTTTCTTCAGCTCTGAAGACCAATATGCCAGTAATCAATATGGATAAATTAATAAAAGGTTTAAAAGAGCTTGAGCATTAAGCTGATAGCAAACTAGGCAATTCTTTACACCCATTAAAATAATTGGGGAAAACAGCTTAGTGTGCCCAGTGCAGAGATTCTGATTTTTTATTTTTGCAAGTGGGGTTAAGAAACTGCCCAAATTTGCCTTGTGTGCCTGCTCCTTGAAGGGCCAAATCACATCAACTCTAAGGCTGGCCAAAGAAACATTCTAGATCAGTTCACCTGTTGTTAGTCTCCATAAATATCAGTGATCCTAGAGTTTTCACAATGCTCACACTTGGCATACACAGTATTTCCCAGTCCTATTTTAATGGATTAATTACAACACAACAGTAGACCTAAGGCTCTCCAAAAGGGGACTTATTCCAGACTTGTTGAAAGCCAAGGAACAAGTGACCATTTTCCTTCTTCGCAGTAGCCTAATTTTAATGAGTACTGTAAACAGTATGTATTCCTTCAGTTGAAAAGCCTACACAACCTTAAGAAAGGAAACCATCTTTAAAATGCTTATTACAAAGACAAATCCAACATTTACTGAAACTATTTCAGGCTTTTTTGACTAACACCACCTGTGTCCATGGTAGAGCCATTTGCATAGCATTTATTTTTTTTGCCGTGAGTTTGAGATTTACTCAGGGGAAGGGACAGGAGGCATACTTATGAGAGGTGAGTACAAGGTTTTAACTAAATCAGTCACATACTCACTGGTTCTATAATGAGTTCTTTATTTTATGCTGTATCTCCTGTTGCAGTATCTCAATCTTTAATTCCACTTCCTGCAGTTCATCAACACTGCCACCAGTGGAACAACCATACATCAGTCCCTGAAGAATGCGCTTTCTAGAAAGGAAATGAACTTGTATTTTAAGACATGATTTGTCATTAAATTTCAAACTACACATTTTTATTTGTTCTGCCATGACAAACTGTTTGTCTGAATTTCACATTAAGTATTACCCCCCCCCCCTTTAAAAAAGTTGGTTACAAACCTTCTAAACTGCATAGCTTGCAAGAGAAGCTTAATTTCATCAATGCCCAGTTCACTTTCAGAAAATTGATCATCAGAACTACTTCCTCCTTCAGAGCAAAGCTGTTCCTCCTTCTGTGGGAAAAAAAAAAAGGCAATTATAATTTTATTACGGCCAAACAGTACTAACAGAACAGTTCAATTCTTGTTGTTTGGGTGATTTGTTCACTTGCTGGAATGCTACCTTCTGGTTCTCCTGCCCTTCTGTTTTTGAAAAGTGGGCATCCCTCTGAACTAAAATAATTATTCTAACAACCTTCTTTAAAATTGTTAGGTTAAGTCTATTAAAGATCTGCTCCTCCTTTTTGCATTTATTTTGTAGGATCTTGATCAATACACTTCTTTCTTTGCAAAGTAGGTAAAGTTTGATGCAGTGAGTGAGCTCTAAAAGAGCAGAGGGTCCGGAAAGAGCAGGTGGAATGCAGTAGTCATGCTTCTGTCAACATGTAAATAATAATAAGTTAACACTATCGCTTGAAAGAAGACCTTTGAAGTCCAGTAGTTTTCTCCTTCCTTCTTGAAACATTCTATTTCCTTTACCAAACTTGGCAATAGATCCTCTGAATGATGGTCAAAGATCTTCAAAATCTCTGGAAGCCTTAAAAACAATAAAAACATCTTTATGGTCATGAAAAGTCACATTTGCATTAAGCCTAATAAAGTTGTGCCGAAAAAAGCCTTAACTTGGAAAAACATACTATGTACTGTAACCAACAGCCCAGCAATCAAGGCAGCTGACAAAAAAAAGTAATTGAAAGGAAAAGAGAAGCCAAATAAAAAATGTTCAAATAAATGTACCCTTCAAATTCGTAAAGTGTGACATAACTTCTTGCTTCATCTCCATCCATGACACCTGGGACATTCCATCTGAAATGCAATATTACATCAATGAGTAAAGGAAATAAATTCAAAATCAAGATGATAAAAAGCAAATAGAAACTCTAAGATAATGTGAAGAGTATCATCTGTCCACAGCATAGTGAATGATAAATTTGAATATCAAGTCGCTATACATGTGCTACCAGTTCAACTGGACTCAAGAATAACAGAACCAGAATACTAAGAGGGTGAAGGAAAAGTGCAAAAAATATTTTTATAACTTTCCTTTCTAACCTGATGAGTTCTTCAAATACTTCCTTATTCTCTGAACAAGAAACCACCACCTTAGCAACACTTTTCTTTTTCTGGCGAAGCTGAAATATGATAAGATTGGTTAATAAAGCATTCAATGTACCAGCAACGTGAATATAACAGATTGATAGTACAAGTCCTAAATTTATGTTCAGTGCAACACTGCATTTAAAACCTCCTTCAAATGACCAATGTTTTTCCTCAGTTCAGATTGTATTTTTGTGTGGTATTAAAAGGTTAAACACAGCAACCATACATTGAACAATGAAATGCTACAGGGGTTGGATAATTTCCTTACCATGGATCTCAGCAGATCACTATCCCACAACAGAGCTGAGATTTCTGCACTGGTGAGGTATGGTTTACTTTCAAAATTGATGATGTGAAAGGAATAATCATGAGTTATCTTCACCCTGAAACAAAAACAGTATACAAAGTGTTGACAGTTTAAACTATCCTCATAATTAACAATACCATGTAATTGTTCTCAATGAGGAGTTGTCCAAAGATTTTGAATAATTTTCAGGGAGTTTTCGCACTGTTTATTGCACAAAAAATAATATAGATTGTTTCTCCATGACACAGACATGCTTTAACAACAAGGTGTACTCTTTGGCTGATTGATATTATACACTTGTGGCAGGTGATAAGGTCTACATCATTGTCTTATGTTACCACTAACTTGCCCCTCCCAAATGAATTTATAACATAACCAAAGTAAAGCGTGCACTCTGATTGGTCAATTTAGCATCCCCCATTTGCCCATGGGTGTACGCTGCTGACATGAGCAAATGCAAAGACTATTTTTCCGCACGCGCTTATTTTTTCTGGTCAAGTAAGATTTGTTAAATAAAAGGGAACTCTTTAGCTACAATGTATCAATGCTATGTTATAAAACAAATGGTAAACACCACAGCGTACACTATTGAGTTATGGATGCACTTGGGAGGTTTGCCAAGCACTCAAGAAGCTAGAGTCGCTCTCTGCTATCGCCTCGAGCGACTCTTATGCTTCTTTAGTGCTTAGCAACCTCCCGTGTGCATCCATAACTCAATAGTGTATGCTGTGGTGTTTACCATTTTGTTAATTAGTAGTTTTATAATCATGCATAAATAATGTTTAATGATGTGGATAACCTAAAAGTTTAAACCTTTTACATAATATGTACAAAACACATTAATTTACTTTAAAAGACTAACAAAATAGCTGACCTTTTGACAAGTAAATCTTATTGGCTGTTGGGTGAATCTAGGTCCAACTCTTGATTTATTTCTTCTATGAAATCCAGTTCATCAGCATTCAAATGTGAATTTGCATGTAAATCTGAACTGTCTAATCGGTAAAGAAAAACAACACTATCATTTCCAAGCAGTGGTTAGGGACAATAATTAAGGGACAAAGAAAAGTATAGCGAGAAGTAAGTTGGAGAGATAAATAATTGTCTAAAAGAGCATTCAAACTATACTTCACCAGCAATATTGACAAATTATTACCAAATATCAGGGTTATCAGAAATTTTTCAGGAGGCTACATTTTGATAAAATAGGTGGTCAGTGCTGGAGGCCATGGTGAGCACTTGAAGCACAACTGTAATTTAATTTGAAGCATTCAGAGAAATTTTTCGAAAGGTTAGAAACTCTCTGCCATCTCAAAACTCTGTAAATGATGCAACTTCATAAATTTTAATGGTGGATATGTGAAGTAAAATCTCTGACATGAATATCTCAGTAACTTACTCTGGGGGGGCTGTGCATTTGTTTGCATTAACTGATCTGTGTATAGAGACGACTGATTCAACCAACTGTAGGCAGAAAAAGAAAACAGGATTTAAACAGTTTACAATTTGTAGAACAACAGGGAGCAGTAAGGGGAAATACATAAACAATACTCTCAAGATCTGCTCTTTTTAGTTATCCCATTACATGGAGTGAATCATTGCAACAAAAGTTTTGGCCTTGACTCAAGACAAACTAACAGACAGACCAATCTTAGTTCAAAACACCAATGAGCCAGCTATATGATTTGTATGCAGTAGATTTTATATTCAATACTGGTAATCTCTGTTAATTCACAAGAGTCCTGAACAAAGAAAATGATTCTTGCACTCCATTAAATTTTGCAAATCTCAATCTCTCTGCTATTATTTTACCTGCTTAAATCCTATGGGTGAAGGGTTTTCTTAATAGTACTTGAATATGTCATAATTATCCCAATACACTGTTGGTTGAAGTGGATTTAATTCAAGAAAAACTTGCCTTGCAAAATTGAGTGGGTAAGATGTTTCAATCGATACTGGGAAGTCTAAAAAAAGGAAAGGAAACAAAAGTTAAAGTAAGTAACTGATATAATTGTGCATATCTGTTATGAATGATTTCCACTTTCCCATGTCTTTTAAACCAAATAATTAAAATTTTAGTCTCCATTGCAAAACATATGTGGCATCCATATCACACTTTTAGTAAGCTAATGCTAACCTCTCAATGTACCACTTGCAGGGTTTGTACACTTTTTCAGGCCAAAGATTCAAGGACTTTTCAAGGACTTGCCAGGACCCTACTTAGAAATTTCAAGGACTTTTTGTAATGAAAATTTTACCTCAAAACCAAGAAAAATGTTTCCGTTAACATCTATGTTTTGGGTTTACCGGTGGTGCAAAACAAAAGCAGATATTTTTCAATGTTGTTCAATAAAAAATCAAGGACTTTCAAGGACCCAAAATGAAATTCAAGTACTTTCAAGGCCTTGAAATCGGCCTCCTGAAATTCAAGGGTTTTCAAGGGTTTTCAAGACGCGTACGAACCCTGCACTTGATAAGCAACCTGTTTAAAGTGACCAATATACCTGAGATCATAACATGACATAATTATGCAATCATGTGAGCCACACAAACATTAGGGTTAGGACATAAAGGAGATGTTAAGTTGACTTAGAAGGGATATTTTTCATGTGAATTTAAAATTTGTACATACATGAAAAGTTCTACAACTCATCCATGTGGTTTTGCAGTTGCTACGTGTAGAGTGATTATTATGTCTAATTCTAACCTGGCAGCAAAGAGCAGTTACTGGATGATGCACAAAAGGAAGATACAGCTTGCTGTTGTAAGTACAGTTGTTCTAGGCTGAGAACTGAGAGACCTGGAGCTGGCTGTGGCTGTGCCTGCGGCTGTGTCTGCTGCTGCTGCTGCTGCTGCTGCTGCTGTTGTACCTGCATCTCAGCTTCTCTGTCATGATTCTGAATGAAATGTTCAACGAACTGTGAATACATCACAACAAATAGCCAAATAATGTTTACTTCACTTACCACTATTATATACTTTATTATTTATACATTCTGCCCAGAAAAGTTTCCTCATTCTGTGATCTCCATTCAAAGGACCACCCTGGGTGTTACACATTGTCATTTGTAATGTTTTCACAAAATATACTTAATTTACTACCTGTCCAACTGGAGATGAAGATTGGGGAGATTTATCAGGAACAAAATCAGCATAATCTGCTTTCACAAGTTCATCATTGATATGAAGGTCTTCTGGAGCATTAGTGTCGCACAAGCAAAGGCACATTGTACCTTCCTGTAGGATAAAAAAATGTCTTCAACTACCTCAAACTAATAACATTTCAAATGACCAGGGGTTGTCAGAGGATAGTGAAAGATTTATTTCCAAAAATAGCTGCACCCCCATAGTGACAAGAACTTGCAGACTAGTCAGAAACTGTACTATCAAGAAGAAACTCTTGCACTAGGTTCGCTAAGAATAAGATGTCTTTTTACCTTAAGAGGACAACTGACACAATTGGAACTGCATTTAACCACATTCCAGCATCCAGGCCTTAAAAATGTTTATTCTACACCTTAAATAAATACCACACCACATGATTGTCACTTCTTCCAGGACTCTGCATTAAAAATATTCATATTTTGTCATACCAGTATTTTTACCTTAATACCACAAAAAAGTGCTACCAGCTGTTTATAGTTCTTTGTCAATTGATAAAACTTATGGGTGGAACCAGGTGACCATTCTTTAGCCTAAAACAGAATCATAGTAAAAATCGTAATTTTATTTGTATTTAAATGAACAAATTACTTTATATCAAGAAATCTTATTTCCATCAACAAAATTGTAACTGGAGTTCCATAATTGTGTAGTGACAAATTGCTTTAATTCCTTCCCTTTGCAGGGGCTTCATTAATGTTTTCTGCAGGAGGGCAACTGGTTTTCACAGGCGGGCAAAACTCTTTGAACTGAACTTCTTTTTAAGATAAACTTTCCTCCAGACCGTCAAATCAGGTGGGCAAAACCGTCCTCACAGCTGGTCAATTTGCCTGGTGCCTGGCCCTTAATGAAACCCCTGCACTATGAGTGAAATGTAAATACAAAAAATAAACAATGCGTCATAACATGTGCGCAGTATACAACAAGTCCTTCGACAAGTTGCTGGAGAGTGGAACCTGCAAGATTTGGCCAAACCCACACAATGATACACAATACTCTAACAACTGCAAAATCCTACATAATACTCAAATTCTGTGATAAAAGTTTCTACAAAAAGATGTTCTTGACAGTAAACACTAACTTACCCCTCCAAAAGGTTGAATATGGGCCAACTTACAGGTAAGTCCCTGTGCTGGAAGTTTCATAAATTGTGACCTGACAACATAAATTAATATGTTGTTAACACATTTTTCCAATTGCCTGCTTGACTGCAAGTCTCAGGTGTACTGAGTGAGAGAAGTACAAAAATTACTGCAATCACATGCATTTTTCAACTAGAAGTTATGAAATGAAATGAAAAACCTGAAGCAAGTTTCTGTCTACTATGTTTGGCCCACCTTAGCACTCGTAGACTTGACAATGGCAACCTTGCGTTATTTCCATAATCCACATAGAAAACCTGTTGAAAGCATCACAAAAGAGAGGTGTAGGAGTTCTTAAAGCTAACACAAAGAAGGTAAGGACAAGGTACCTTGGAACTGCTGATTTCATATGAATTCATAGATGAATTACATGTACATACACCTTATTTGATGGTTTAACATAATTATAATGTGTTTTGAAATTTTGCGAGTTGCGCAGTATTTTTCTAAGCCTCAAAGGGACAAGGAAAAATTTTAGCAATGGGCAAAATGTTCTTGTATTATATGTTAAACCACTGAATATAAGATTTAATATTGCACTTTTGAACTTTTTGTTTTTGCTATATATGTGAAATACATCCTGTGGCCTAATCTGTGCAATGTATTGATTGCAGGAGTATGTAAAAGACAAAAGCAACATAAATGAAAACATTTAAATGTACTTTGCGATCAACAAAAAGATCTGAGGTACTTATTTAAATATTTGTTTAGTCAAGCCTAAAAAATGTAAAAAAAAAAAAAAATTGGATTGTTTAGTGCAATCATTTTGTTGCTCTATATTTTTGCCCTGTTCTACAGTGTAATACCATTGCATATTTTGCATATTCTCATGACCTAGCTTGTTTGGTAAAATGAGGTAGTAGTGGAATGATAACTACACATATTCCATGTAGTAATTAATCAATAAAATGACCGATGGCAGGAGAGTCAATATTGGTAAAGCTACAACTGTATTAAAGACGACAACTTAGTTAATTACTTCAATTTAATTTGTCTTGGTATTTCTGCAGATTGACATTCTACAACTCGGATGTCATAATTCAATGAGCATTGTTTTTCAGTCTGTTAAACTGACTAATCACGCTTGATTAACAATAACAGAGCCCAATGAACCAGTCTTTCATTAAGAACTAGACTTGAAGCATTGTACTGAAAAACAACTTTTCACTTTAAAATGACTTTCCCAAAGGATGTCAAAGGACTACTCTAATAGTCACACTACATGATCCACATTTCAAAACTGAATTGGTATATACCTCTATGCTGTCCACAGACTGTATACCAACCACCAGACTGCGGTACCAAGATCCATCTTCATACAAAGCACAGCAGGCCTGGTTAATAATTTAAAATAAGATATAACTTTGAAAAGCACACTTCTGGTACAGGAACTCTTTATAACAAATTGTCTTAGTAAATAATGTTCAAAATTCAGACTAAAGTAATAACTGTAATTTCCAACCCTGTAGTGAGGTAAGATTATCTTTAACCCTTTACCAGCAAGCCACGCATACATGGTAGTTGTTACTACTATTACTGTTGTTATTTGTTTCTTGTTGAAATTAAGAGACGACATTGTGTAAGTATGTACATTACAAGGCTGTTTGATGTGACACTTATTGCAGCCTAAAACACCCACAATGATTACCAATTTCCATTGCAGTGAACCATTCATATAACAACAAATCCCAAAAATCCAGCTTTCTGCCCCACGAGCAACAATGAAAAAGTGTCGATCTTTTCAGATCAAAACTTGCTCAAGAAATCAAAAGTTTGCATTCAAAACACACCTCAAGGCCAGATCTTGCTGTTTGGCTGAAAAAATTCCTTCTCACTTTATCTGCTAGCCCTTGTTCTTCCTTTTGACGAAAGCTAGTGTCGCAAACACAACCTTTGCCTCGTTTATGACCGAAAAGAATTCTGGGAAATTCCACCACAACTCGAGAAGGCAACACCTCACATTTCCATTTGAACAAATTATTAGAATCGTGTTGGGCCACCCAGTCCTACCAGAAAAATATCACATCGATCGAGACTTTTGCCACTCAAAACTGGCCCAAAAAGCCTTGGTAGGTCCAGGTAGCCATCCACAGATGGGCCAGAGACACGACTTCACTTGCGAACCCACCAAGCTTGCATGAAAGCATTTTGGCGGTCCAGTCTACATGAAACTACCTCTCACCTCTGTTTTCTTTCAGAGGCTTGCCTCTACCCACATTCCAGCTTAATGATGCTGTCCTGAGGGCATCTGTAGAGGGAAAATGGCTCGAAAAACACTTATATATAAACGCAAAACGAATCGATTTGAATGCATCCAAACACGAGCGGATGATCTAGGTCACGTGAGCCCAAAGTCTGAACCCACAGTGTCTCAAAACCACAAATATTGTAAGGGATACTTCATATAACGACAAACAAAGTGAGCTTAAGTTTTGTATGGCCAAATTGTAAGGTATTTTTGCCTGCTGGTAAAGGGTTAAGAATCTAAGATTACTGAATCGTTAAGTATCATTCTATCGTTAAAACATCTTTGATTTACATATACCTGACCGACTGAAACAAACCAACCAGGCATCTTGTAACGTGCACTTTCTTGACTTGAATAGAATTGTCTGCAAATAAGAGGATGAAATATGAAATTTCCATTATACCCAGTTTTCCAAAGTTAAAATTAAACCAAAGACTGTTGGTCTTTTTCAAGTCCCAAGAAATCTGGGTCACTAAAATGAGCTGTGAATAGGTAATAGCTAAAGCCTAGCATGAAAAAACTTACTTCATTTCTTCAGTCAAATCTCTCAATGCTGGCCAGTTCTCAATCAGCATAACCCAAAAATGGTGTGGATCAATGATGTGTGTGACAGAAACTTCAAGAAATCCACATGCTGGGACCGTTATTTTTGAAAAGTAGACTCCCCTGCCTACTCCATCAGGCAAGTTCAGTGGATTACCAGTGATAGCAGGTGAGACAGGCTCTTTGTGTATTTCAATTGGAGCAGGACTTGCAGGAACTGCACCATTTGCTTGTGGGTAATCTTTTTCCACTGTGAAGCAAACAAGACAAGAAAATGTTAACATCACAAGTCCTTGCACATAGCTACCATTACTTACCAAATGTCTTAATACTTCTGTATATAGCTACCATTACTTACCAAATGTTCTAGTACAGTGGAACCTTGATTTAACGAAGTGCCTAGGGGATGGGGAAATTGGTTCGTTATATTGAGGGTTCGTTATATCAAGGGTTCGTTATATTGAGGTTCTATAGCATACATTTTACTGTAACTTAAGGCTGGCTGAAACTGAAGTATCGTTCGTTATACCAAGGACTTTGCTATGTAAAGGTTCATTAAATCGAGGTTCCACTGTACTTCTGTATATAGCTGTTGTACTAACAATTACTATCCTATAAGTTAAAGTATACTGCAACCGATCAGTAATTATTAACTAACAGGAACAGCTAGGGAGAGTTCAATTTGAAAGCTGCATGCTTATCATTTCTAAACTAGGACTAGTGGGTTAATTACCAATCCAACATGAAGGAAATATACTTAATATATAATTCAATTTATTCAAAATACAATATGATCTGTTTACAGCCAGCAGTGTTTACAGTACAAAACTTTGTGAGACTGAGTGAATAAATTAACTAGAGCAAATAATTCGTTCAACTTATGTATAATTTACAGCACTTGAGTTCAGTACTCAATCCACTTGGCTTGCTTACCTCAACTGTTGTTAGATTATTGCCTTGGCATAATTGACAGCATTCTCCCATGGCATAATATTAATAAGTTGCCCACTAACCACTTTTAAAATCAAACCCATGTTGCTCAATTTTCATTAACAAGTATAATAGCTGCGTATCATCTATTTTTACCTTTAATTCCCATCCCATACACTGTTTGTTATTTGAATAGGTGGTTCATTTCATGTAGTTGTATTTACCTTTTTCAGCTAGGAGAAGAAGCCAGTCCACCTTTGTGGGTCGCTCTATTCGTACAACATCTGGCATAGCAGCCACAAACTCCACAACACTCATAAATCCATACTGTTTGATGTTGAGCTCCTTGCCATGGAGACTCTGAAAAGTGTATTTAGTTCCAAAACATTATTAATAATGAGTGGATAGGAGACCAGTTTTATGTGCTGCAATGAAATGATACCTTCCAACCTTTAGTAAGACTACACAAATTTCAGAAGGTTTTTAAAGAAAATCAAATACTGTAATTACTGAATTTTCAGGAATGATTTTTACCTTGTATTCTATTGGAAATCGGGCTGCCCATATACCATTGGGTCGTCTAGCTAATACCTTCAAAGAAAAAAGGTGAACCAAACATGTCCATAATATTTGTTTCAAACACAACAAATAGACACATTGCCATTACAAATAATTATTAGTCAGAGCAATAAACACACTTGAGAGATGAGACAATTGCACATACCTGTATACACTCCTGCTGTAATCTTTTATTAATTGCACTATTGCTGTCAAACTGGGCTTTAATTGAAGGAGCAGACTGCCCATTTGTTTTTGAACACTTGCCTTCTGTATTGCCATTTGATGTGGGATGGTGTTTACCAGTTGAATCACTTTTAGTTCTGACAGGAAAGCTATTCCCAGGATCAGGTGCTTTATTGACAAAAAGAACACAAGTAAAGCATAATTTACTGCAATACAGGCGTCAGATCTGCTCTCTATACTAAGCAAAATTTATCTTTCTCTTGGGTTGAGTATGTTGGTTCTTTTTTTTTTTTTTTTTTTTTTTTTTTTTTTTTTTTTTTTTTTTTTCACTCTTGGGGGAACTGGTTATTCAATTTTTTTTCATTTGTTATAACATTCTCCTTGTCAGTACCATGGGAAATGTAAAGAGAACAGTATGGAGAATATTTATGGATATCTTGTAGGTCAATTTGTTCTTTAGGTAAATTTGTTTCAAACTAGGTTAATTTGATCTCAACCTAGGTCAGTTGCTGATGTCTGTCTGTCTAGTTTTTTTTTTGGATATATCAACAAAATCGAAATGGTAGCTCCATTTTCTGCCTTTAAAAGCACACACAACCCACAATTCCTCTATTTGCTCCGA